GCGGTCCGACGGCGGCGACGCTCTGAGCGAGCAGAGCGGTGCGCCCCCGCCCTCCACGCTGGTGCAGGGCCCCCAGGGGAAGCCGGGCCGCACCGGCAAGCCGGGCCCCCCCGGGCCTCCAGGGGACCGGGGTCCTCCGGGTCCTGTGGGACCGCCCGGAGAGAAGGGTGAGCCAGGCAAGCCTGGCCCTCCTGGCCTGCCGGGTTCAGGAGGCAGCGGCGCCATCAGCACGGCCACCTATACCACGGTGCCACGCGTGGCCTTCTACGCCGGCCTCAAGAACCCTCATGAGGGTTACGAGGTGCTCAAGTTTGACGACGTGGTCACCAACCTAGGCAACAACTACGATGCGGCCAGCGGCAAGTTTACATGCAACATTCCTGGCACCTACTTTTTCACCTACCACGTCCTCATGCGCGGCGGCGACGGCACCAGTATGTGGGCGGACCTCTGCAAGAACGGCCAGGTGGGCCATGAGGGGGCATGGGGCTGACCTGGGGGCAGGGCACCCAGGGAGCCCCCAAGGAGAATGCGTATTGGATCAGAGTCGGCAGGGACATCAGGCAGGCGTAGGTGGAGACCCTAAAGCGGCCCCCTTAACTATCACGTGAAGAATGGTTGCAATTAACGGGCACCCCTGACTCTTCAGCCCTTGGGCTTGAGCTCTAAGGCAAATGCTACAGGGCGCCCGCGGAGTGGAAATGCGTAAAGATAAATCCAACTAGTCAGATCATAAGGCTCTAGGGCGCACGGACTGGTCCTTGGGGGTTTGGCCCTTGGGAGGCTGATTCAGGCTGATTTCACTTGAGAGCTAAAATTCAAGCTGACGCCGACTGGCTTTAAGGGAACAGCAAGGATGTGCTCTAGGGCACCGAGAAGGAGAAGCAGTCTCCGCTCTGGAGGACGCTAAGCCCAGTGGCTGTGCGCACAGGAGGAGAAGGGCTGCAGGAAATGTTTGGGGCACAAAGGCAGAGGGAGTCCGGCGCCCAGTAGCCTTAGCTGCAGTACATCTCTGCCTCTAGAGAAGGAACCACCGAGCTGGTCTGATACCCTTTGCAAACCCCCTGGAATGCGCAACCTTTTCCCAGAGTATCAGAGCTATCCAGCGCCTCCGGGGAAAAGTTTCCTCCAGGGGCGGGGCGGAGTGATAGAAACTCCCCTCCTTAAGGTCTCCAGGTCCAACTCCTCCACTACCCTAGAAGATCGGGAGCTGGAAGGGTCCTCTCTGTCCCCCGGAGTGCGTGTGTCAGAGACAGGGACCGCGGGCGCACAGCGTTTTCCTTGGAACCACCCACCCTGGGTTCCCAGTCGCCAGCGTTCTCACCTCGGGGTTACATGAGCCCCACCCCGGGGGCGTGGTCAGGCCGAACCTTCTCTTCTCAGAGGCCAGGGTCAGAACAGAGGTAGGCAAGTGAAAGTTAGAAGGAATCCCCTGTGGCTGAGACTCCAGATCTTCTCGGAAGTCCTCCCACTGCAGCAGTGCCCTGCTTTGGGATCTGCAAAGTTTGGGGACAGGAGAGTGGGCAGAAAGCCGGTCTGCGTGGAAGTCTGTCCTCTTTCCTTTCTTCTGCCTGCTCCCCCCACTCCGCTCTATGGTTTCTGCCTCCTTCTCTGCCTCTTGACCATTTCTTTCCCGGAACCTGCCATTCATCTCTGTCTCTCTTCTCCGGGTCCAAACCCCACCCCCACCCCCACCCCACTTTCTCTCCCGTGTGTGTCTGTCAGGCTTCTGGTGTCTCTCCTCTTTGTCCTTGGTTCCTGACCAAATGGAAGGCCCCGGAATCCAGCACAAGCTCATTCTGCAGACGGCCCCACAAGTCCCCTTATTAATCACCAATAAGGCATACAGCAATGTCACCTTCATTGATGGCATTCCTTCCTTCCTCAAAGAAAGTTTGAGCTGGCCCAAAGACAAGGTTTAGGGGACCCGGGGCTTGCTGGGATTGGAGAGTGGTTGCTAGGCCCTTGGACTCTGCCCCATCACAGGGGTCCCAGCAGGGCCCCAGCAACTGGGCCCGAGGAGGCTCCTAAGATGGCCGGTACTTGTAGTGCAGTCACTTGCTTTTTAGTCTCTGGGAATTGAAACCATTCCCCAAATGTCTTCCCTCCCTCAGAGCCTGGGTGTTAGCACAGTCTGAAGAAGAAGAGTTCCCAAGGTGAGAGGACCCCAGGCTGCCGGAGGCTCACTGAGGGCCATTCTAGGGCCATTTCAAAGCCTCCACACATTGACAGTTACTCAAGACGTCCCCCCAAACAAAACACGAAAAAATGACTAAGAGCAACAATGGATGCTGCAGCCTCCTCCCCCATATCCTCTCGTGACTTCTTCCAGATTGTCCAAGAGGCTCGCTGAATCTCGTTAATCATTCCACATATTTGTCGTGACCCCCCCCCCCACACACACACACAGGCAACAAGGAGTGAGGCTTGTTTGGCACCAAGGGTTTATGTAATAGGGACCCCAGATGCGGTCACACAATCACACTCCATAGGTACTACATTAAAGATGTGCTGTCTGAGAGAGGGGATCAGTGGGGCGGCCCTGCCCCGGCTCAGAACCACTTGGCCGGAAGAAAAGCATGTTGACCCCGGGTTCACCAGGTTAGGAGATACCACTAAAGAGGAAGGGAAAGGTCAAATGTAGAGGAAGGCTGGCCCAGAGGTAGGTGAGAACATTGAACTAAGCGGAGAAAACTATGACCGGGCTGTGCAATGGGTGGAAATGGAGGAGAGGAGCTTCTGCCTTCCATACCTTCAGGATCAGAGGCCACCATGGGTGCTGAGTGCTCCCCCCCCTTACAAAGAGGTTTCCAGTCCTTTGGGAAGGCAGGCCAATTCTGGCCTTTGGTCCTTCCCTGGGGTTTGCCATCTGCATGCCTGGTGCCTAAGGACCCTTGTCTAAGATCCACTGCCCTCCCTCCGCAGAGATAGCCTTGGGTCAACACCCCCGATCTGATGGCGCCTGGCACTGGTGATTAGGCTGGGGAGCCAGAGGAAAGGGTTCTAGGGGCGGCTGAGCTGTTCAGACAGGTCAGGGTGGACACAAAATTGATAAACATGGCTACAGGCAGAGGCTGTGTGAGGACATGCCAGTGGTCAGAGTGCTGTATGTCCAGGGGAGGGGACTCGGGGAGATATGTACTATACGTGGGTGAAAGCTGGGAGGAAAAAAGCTGACAGAGAAATATAAATTGAGGAGTGTGCCATAACAAAACTCCTGGGGATCAGCCTCTCACCTGGAGTGAGAAAGAGACCCAACTGTCCTCTCTAACTTCTGGTCCTATTCACAGCACAGAGCCTAGTGTAGAAGAGACCCAGCAAATCGGTGAGCCGACAGTCCTCTATGAACCAGGCTGGCAAGTTCGGGGACCACACCTACATACCCAAGACCCCAGCATGGACTGGGGACGGGAGCGCTTTCCCCGACTAGCCTGGCGTCTCAGTTCCCCTGGTCCAACTACTGCCTCAGTTTCTTTTCTTGGCAGTTTCTTCTGACAAGGAACAGGCCGCCTTCTGGCTTCCATGGCAACCTCAATTCCCCCATCTTTCCTAGGGCCTCTAAGAGGAGCTGGATGCCTCAACAGCTTCCCGTCTTGAGTAGAGAATTGGGACCCCTGGGTTCCATTTCAGGATCCCCCACTGGCTAAGGATGGAAGGGCATAAATTCTTGCTGCTTCCATGGATAATTAGGATAATTACAGCAACAATCATGGTGATGAATAAATAATAAACATAACAGTTCTGATGCCTGTCACATCACCAGGAGATTCCTGTTGACGGATGACTGTGTTCTAATGGATTTGGCTATTAAAGAGCACACTCTTTTAATGAGTTAAGGCTAAATTAATCTGGGTAATAAAAATAATTGTTATTAGTAGTAATTTATTAGCAAAGATAATGAAGTGCACGTGTAATAATAAATACTGCCAGGATTAGGGCCCAGGGAACAATACAGAGGTTGGCTGTTTGCTCCTAGCTCTTCTTTGCTAGTTTAAAGCCCCAGCTAGACTTAATTTTTTTTCTTTATCATCTACAGGCTTTTGTAAAGGTGGCAGCAGTCAGATAGGGACTTCTCATCCAGTTTTCTAGACAGAGAAACCCAGGCCCTGAATAAACAGCCTCTCCCTTATTTCCTCCCATCTTAATTTTTTTTTTTTTTTTTTTTTTTTGAGACAGGGTTTCTCTGTGTAGCCCTGGCTGGCCTGGACTTGAACTCATGGAAATGCACCTGCCTCTGCCTCCTGAGTGCTGGGCTGATTGGCATGGGCCACTACTTCCAGGCCCACCTTTAAAATTTCATTGCATATATTTATTGAGGTGAGGACACAACACTCCTTGGCGTGGAGATCAGAGGACAGTTTGCAGGAGTCAGTTCTGTCCTACCGTGTGGGTTCCTGGGGACTGAACTCGGGGCATCAGGCTTGGCAGGAAGCACCTTCACCTGCTGAGGTAGCTCACCAGCCCCTTCTCCCACTTTTTTTTAAGAGATGTTTCCCCAGTTATAATTCACGTAGTTCCAGACTGGGGAAGAGGTTAAGGAGAGGTAAGGGGCTGGAAGGACACTGACTTTTGGGAGAGCTGCATTGAAGTGTGTTGGGTCCTCTTGGTTATGGCATTGCTGCTGAGTCAGCTGCTTAGCAAGGACGGCCCGAAGTTACGCTTCCCTCAGCTCCCCCATCGTCCCATCTCCCTCCACTGCCAACTACGATGTGGCTTCAGCCTAGACATTAGTCTTGGGTTAGGAGGCTGCAGGAGCTGCCTTCAGAGAAGGAGAGAGAACTGTGGAAAAGCCTGCCTGAGGACCCTGTTCAACACAGCCTTCCCCACCGCAAGCCGCAATCCCGGGGACAGCTTTTCTACTCTCTTTTTAATTTTTAAAATTTACTTTATGTGTCTGGGTGTTTTGCCTGCATGTATGTCTGTGCATCACATGTGCCCTGATGACTTTAGAGGCCAGAAGAGGGCATAGGATCCCCTAGAGCTGGTGTTACGGGCAGTTGTGATGTAGGTGCTGGGAATCGAACCGGGGTCCTCTGGAAGAAGAGCCAGTGGTCTTAGTCCACTGAGCTAACTCTCCATGCCCTCTTCTGTTCCTTACCCTTTATTTTAGGGAGACCCTAGGTCCTAAAGCTTAGTTCTCTTGTTGCCTCAGAAATGTCCACAGATAATTCAACCACAACCACCCTCCCCAATGTCTTAAAACTAGTCAGGGCCTCCAGAAGTCACAGCAGCCTTCAAACTCAAATGCTAGCGCTTCCCTTGAGCTGTCTCCTCCTGTCCTCATCTCCCTTCAAGACAAGGACCACAGAGAATGTAAGGCCCCAATTCCTTTCCTCCCATCCTGTTCCTCTCTACCACCCTAGGATGAAACACCAAGAGTTAGAAGTCCTCTGGCCAGGGCAATAGTCACAGGGATAGAGCCGCAACTCCCAGAGGCCTTGGGCAGTGAAGTCAATTAAAGGCCAGAAGGGGAAGGAATTACCAGGCCTGGAGTCTCAGTGCCAAGGTGAGAGACTCTGGAGCAAGCTTTGGACAGGACCAAAGGCCCAGCCTTGCTTCTGGGAAAGCGCCTTCCTAGCTGTCTGGTATTTCCCAAGCTGCCTCTCTCTGTGGCCACGCTGCATCCTTTGTCCATCCATTGACATGAGAGCAGGTGGGTGGGAGAGAAATGAAAACATCGTCGATATTGAAGCAGAGAGGAGGGAATGCTAAGGACAGAGGGAGGGGAGATCTTTCATCTCAGGAAGTACAAGGCAGCCCTCTGTACAAGGAAGGACTTCCCAGCTGGGCCACCCTGGAGGCACTGAGGTGGGCAGCAGGCAGATGGAAAGACCTGCAGGAGTTACAGAGGACGACTCCATCTGGACTTCAGATTCGGGCCCAGATGTGCTCGGCCCTAGAATTCAGGGCTCCTCTATGTCTGCTTCCAAAAATGTTCTGCATGATTAAAAGTGGATAGGGTGGGATGATGGGAAGCAGGCCAAGGTCCTGAATGGCTGGAAAGCTGGGCTTTAGAGCTTCCAGATCCTCACCATGTGGCTGCCTCACCTCCTTCCCCTCTCACACTGTCCCATTCCCCATCCCTAACCCCACCTCCGCCCCGGCCCCGCCCCGCCCCCCACCTCCCTTAGGTACGGGCCAGCGCCATTGCCCAGGATGCAGACCAGAACTACGACTACGCCAGCAACAGCGTGATCCTGCACCTGGACGCAGGCGATGAGGTCTTCATCAAGCTGGATGGAGGCAAAGCGCACGGGGGCAACAGCAACAAATACAGCACTTTCTCTGGCTTCATCATCTATTCAGACTGAGCCCCCGCACCCCTTTCCATCCGTGGCTCTTCATCCCTGGGGCTCCCCTCTAGGGAGAGGCAAACAAGAACCCATTCCCTACTCATTTTCAAATTGCCTGGCCCAGGCTGCCGACTCTCCCAGGCTGAATCGCCCCTAGCCCGCCTCCACCACCTAGTCCAGGCCTTTACTTCTTGGAGCGCAAAGCTCCCCGTTCCCCCCCACCCCTCCCCACCCGCACGCAGTTCCGGCCGGGGTGGCAGGTTGCCTTCCTGGTCCCAGCCTGCACTGTATATGTGTACAATAGGACTGTTTACTGCCCACCCCCTCCTGCCAGCCAGCCCCAGTCTGGGGGCGGGGGCGGGGAGTTGGCGCGGTTGCTTCCTGAGGGGTGACCCCCCCCACCTGGGGGAGGAGCGGGTTAGGGGCTGGATAACATCCCAGCACCCACAAAACCCTGGAACAGCTGCAACTGGTCTGACCAAAGCTATAATAAAAAACATTTCCACCCCGTGGGGCTTTCAGTCTGTGCCCTGGGGAAGTCTGTAGAAGGTGCCCCGGACCCTGCCCTCTAGACTGGGAAGGAGTATGGTGAAAATTTCTGGGGACAACCAGATGCTGGAGTCATAGCTGCTCTAGGAAAGGGCCAAAAGGCCTGATGTTCACCACAGCCCACGTAGGCAGCCGGAGTGGGAAGCAATTCAGTTACATCTCATGTGGTGGTTAAGTGCCATTTTTGCATGGGAAACAAGGTACAGACAACTTTGTAAGTGGAGAGCCTAGGTTCCTGTGACGTCACATGTGGTATAAGTCACTCTCCAGCTGGTGAAAGCCACAGAAAGGACCAAGCTTTGCACTAAAGGCTGGTTAACCTTCCAATCACTACATCTGGGCCTCTGTTTTTCTTCATCAGTAAAATGTGGGAAAGGAGACCCACTTCCCTCAATTGAACACGCTCACAGTACCCAGCTCTTCCTGTTTCTACATCATTTTAAAGTCTGCAAAATGCTTTCAGGTACTCCCTCACCCAAGTTGGAGTTAGGTGAATGGGTAGATTTTCTTCCATGGAGATTAAAGTGATAGAGCTGTTAAGGTCTGTGGATGAACGTGGGTTACACTGAGTCTCTTTGACCTGCCAATGCCTCTTTCTTTTCTTTTCTTTTTTGGTTTTTTGAGACAGGGTTTCTCTGTGTAGTTTTGGTGTCTGTCCTGAACTTGCTCTGTAGACTAGGCTGGCCTTGAACTCACAGAGATCTGCCTGGCTCTGCCTCTGAGTGCTGGGATTAAAGGCGTACGCCACACCACCTGGTGCCAGTGCCTCTTTTAAGTTCTTGTAATTGGCAAGCTGTAACACACAAATACGGCACTTCTAAATAATTATAGTTAATATTTAAAAAAAAGACACCCAGTGTATGTCAGACACTGTAGGCATTTCATAAATATTTCCTCACAGATGTGTGAGGTGCAAAATGGGTTCCTGGAAAGCTCCCATGTCCATAGATGCTTTTGTCTATTTTTTTTTTGTTTGTTTTTCAAGACAGGGTTTCACTGTGTAATGGCCCTGGCTGTCTTGGAACTCACACTGTAGACCAGGCTGGCTGTGAACTCACAGAGATCTGCCTGCCTCTGCCTCCGGAATGCTGGGATTAGAGGTGTGCGCCACCACTGCCCGGCCTGTTTTGTCCATTTTAATGATACATTTACTTTGAGATGGAGGCTCGCTCGCCATCTTACCCAGGATTGCCAGCGCTCCTGAGCTCAAGTGACCCTTCTGTTTCAGCTTCTCAGTGGGACTACAGAGGCACCGTGTTACCCTGGCTATTTTGTCTACTTTTAGATTAAGACACTGAACCTCAGAGAGGTTACGTAACTTGCCAAACCACAGGGCTTATGAACAGGCAAATGCCAATATTCGAGCCGAGGACAGTGCTCTTACCCAGTGCTCCATATTCATAAGGAACTGGCATTCTCAAAGCAGAGCTGAGGCTCGAGTTGGGGTAGCCCTGCCCCATCCTTCTCCTTCCACCCCAGCCCTACAGAGGCCTGCCTGATGCATTCATAAGCATCTGCCATGGGCCGCAACCGTGGGCTGGGGCTTTTGGAGAATGCCAAGGCTCTACATTGAGGAAAGGTCCCATCTGGCTCGCTGGTCTGGCTCAGCTGGAGAGACAGGAAGGAGGGGTAGCCACCCTCCTGGCCAGGCCCCATGTATGGACCCTTGTCGTGGCTGGCAGATTTGAATGGCTTTCTTTATCTTCCCTTCTCGCCCCCATTTCCCCCCGCTGCCAGCTGTGGCCATTTAATAAAATTAGTTTAATGCTTGTTCCTTCCCTGTGGGATCTGGAGATTGAAATCTGCAGGTCCCCACAAACCCAATAAAACCCCTGGCCGCTCTGGATGGAACTAGAGTCTCCGTGGGAAGTGTGATTAGATTAGAAGGCACCCCTCCTGTCCCCCAGTGATGCCCACAGCTGCCTCTGACTCTTTAATAGCCACACTGACTCAGAATTACCCGGTGACCATGCTTGCCATGGGGGTGGGGGGGTGGGGGTGAGGTAGAGGGGCCGTCCCGCCCTAACCTGGAGGCCATAAGGACTATCCCAGGACTTCTGTTAACCAAAAGCATGCTGATTGTGTCTACAGTCAGTGCTTGGCTAGCTGGCTGCTTTGCATTTCTTTCTGGTGACTTGATAATCCTCATGTCATTTTGAGAGATGGGACTGAAATCCCACTCCTTGCAGATGAGGACTCACAGACTCATGACTTGCCTATGGCCAGGCAGGATGTTTGCGGCACACCTAGGACTGGACTGAAGCCAAAGAGTTTGTCTACCTTTGCAAAGCTCCAGGAATGGCCTATGATGCCAGCTGCTTGCATTTAGGCAACATCCCAGCGACAAGGGAATCTACTAGAAGGTGTCTTCCCCATCGAACAGTGGCTCCCTAAGGACAAAAATCTGTTTTCTCCTTCAGATGGGAGACAGCTAGCTGATGAGGGCAAGAGCTATGTCTCCACTATTCAGACTGGGAAGTTTTCTGAAGGCAAGACTGTGTCTCCTGCATCAGACTAACGGGACCTCAAAGTCTGTATTTTCCTTTCATACTGCACCTAGCTCCTTGACAGAGAGCGCTGTATCTGCTTCCAACAGTAATTTGATCCCTCCATGTAGTAGTGATGCTCCCACTAGGTCTGTGGGGAGGCACAAGTTTACTTTCCTGTTCGTCTAGGCCTTTCTGAGATGAGGGGACAGTTTCTACCTGTGAGCTGGGGTATCCTTGAAGACAAGACTACCTCCTTTGAAGTTCGGAGTTCTCTGAGAGCAGATGGTGCGTCTCCCCCTCAGCCCTCAGTCAGGGGCTTTTAGATACAGGGATATTCCAGGGGCAGAGCTGGGTGAGAGGTGGAAGAAGTCTGGACAGGCAGGATGTGAGTCCACTCTGGAGAATGGAAGCAAGGACTCCCTCCAGGTTACCCCCTTTAGAAAGATGTGTGATTAATTGAGGAAGAATATCCCAGTCAGGAGGAGAGTGAGGATGGAGGTATCCCCGGAGTTCACTCACACAGGAAAGGCGGGCCATTCTATAACCAGGCAGCTGCCAGCCGTAGGTGCTGGTGTCACCCTGGTTTCTGGGGTTATTGGGTCCAGAGGGGGCAGCGGGGCCCACTGCTGGGGGCTGCCCTAATTGGATGACTTTGCAGGAAGGCCAGGCAGGTGCACTTGCCTCTCCACTTCAGCTTCCTACAAACACATCTGCCGTGTCGAGGTCTAGGGGTTAATTGGCTCCTGCCTCACTCCTGGTAACCAATATTTCATTTACTGCTCAGAGGGGGAGCTGCCCAGACAATCAATCCTGGACAAGTGTCCAGGAGGTTGGGGAGCTGGCCAGGCACAGGAGCTGTTGGGGAGGAGTTTGGGGGTGCAAGGGAAGAGGCAGGGACCATAGACCCAGAGAAGGTGGCCGACTCCTCAAAGCAGCTCTAACCCTGGTTGGAGTTCTGCTGACCATGACAGCCCCGGGACCCTCAAAGGCCAAGAGCAAATTTCAGGAGTCCAGAGGCTCCCCCACTGCGGCCAGCCATGCTGTTCCCCCTGCCCTGGTACTGTCTGCGTTTCTTGATCTAGATGCCCCCCCAGACAAAGCTGTGACAGGTTAGATGCTGTTAATAAGGCTTTTTTTTTCCACACGTGATGAAGGTATATATGAAAAACAGAATTGGAGGTGTGAGTTCCTAGCTCCCAGGTAACGAACCTTAAAATTCTACAAATGAGGTGATAATAAAGTGGAAGTGAAAAGTCTACACGTGTTTGGAACAGGAAGGGACTGGAAGGGTTACTGAGAAATTGCAGCTAGTGGCTGAAAGAGAAAAGGGACCAGAGGACGCTCCCACCCCAGGCATCGTCTACATGCCACCCAATTGTCTGATGTGCCAAAACTGAGAATCAAAGCCACAGAATGGGGGGCTTCCATTCCACAGCTGGAGAAACAGAGGCCCAGAAAAGACTGCCCAGGGCAGCGCGAGAACCAGAGATCACAGGACCTAGAGGATAAACAGGAAGGGAGGGAGACAAAAGACCCGGTTCAAGTCCCGACCACGTTAGATGGTCTAGGAAAACACACTTCATTTCTCTGAGTCTTTGTTTCCTCACCGACAAAGCAGGACTGGATAACAAAATCTTCTTGAAAGGCTGTCGTGAGGGAGTGAATGAGACCCTGTTTTGTAAGTTATAAAGAAAAATGTCTTTTACTAGCACTCGGGAGGCAGAGCCAGGCAGATCTCTGTGAGTTTGAGGCCAGCCTGGGCTACCAAGTAAGTTCCAGGAGGGCGCAAAGCTACACAGAGAAACCCTGTCTCGAAAAAAAAAAAAAAAAAGAAAGAAAGAAAAATGTATATGTGTTGTTATTGCTGTAATCCAAGTCCCCCGAGCCCCATGATTTACTGTTCTTTGTACGTCAGTGCCTGGGATTAATATGATGCTTCCTAAAAGGAGATACCTGGGTCATTTTCTAGCCTGGTAACAACCAAGTGAGTATGGGACTAAGGGGAGGATCTGGTATGGGGGATGCAGGAGGTAGAGCTAAGTATTCAGAATGTATTCTTCAGTCTCCATTCTGGACTCTCCCACCCTTCTGTTCTGTGGTTTCCAAATTGGGGTGAGTACAAGGCTACCCCGAGGCCTCCATATGTTCCTGTCTGGATTTCCTCTGTTCACTTCAGCAAATAGTGCTGAACACCTACCTATAGACAAGCCTTTTGCTCAGAGCTGGACAAGAGTTTCTAGAGCAGTGGTTCCCAACCTATGGGTCACGGCCCCTTTGAGGGGGTCAACAATCTTTACACAGGGGTCGCCCAAGACCATTGGAAAACAGATATTTACATTATGGTTCATAACAGTAGCAGAATTACAGTTATAAAGTAGCAAGGAACATAATTTTGTGACTGGGGCTCACCACAACACAAGGAGCTGTATTAAAGGATGGCAGGCAGTGTCAGAAGGCTGAGAACCAGAGCACTAGAGAATGAA